TTCTAAGCAGATAGAGAGATGGGGAAGAGGGAGGGCCCCAGTCACCTCTAGTTCGCCCTGAGGTCTGATCTGTCCAGATAAAGGACAGAGGGAAAAGCCCTCCCAGGCTGGGGGGATCCCATGATTCATGTTTTTATCATCTTCTCATGGGATAATGACATGCCTGCTTCTTCCTAATCACTAGTTTTGACCCCAACTAGGCTTAACACCCACAGCAAGAAGGGGTGGACAAGCCTGGTATCATGGATTTTGGGGAGAAAATACTTAGGAGTTTCTATCCTTAGTCCTTCCTTTTCCCAGGACTCAAAGGTTCACATCTCTAGTACCCCTTCCTCAGAAGCCTCAGCTTTCAGATCTTCTCCTTTTATTCATTGTCTGCCACATCTTCTCTCTGAACCTCTCTTTATCTGTCATTTGTCTTATTTTGTGTTTGGTGTCCATCCTCAGGCAGTGCTGGGGATTGGATTCGAGCCTGTGCACCAAACTACATTTTCAGCCCTTTAAAAAAAATTTCATTGTGAGACAAATTCTTGCTAAATTTCCCAGGCTCAAATTTGTGATCCCCCTGCTTCAGCTTCCCAGAGTGCTGGGATTACAGGTGTAATCCCATGTTTATCTTTAAAAAAAAAAAAAAACTCTGTATCTGATTCTCCTGCAGTGGACCTCAATTTTCTATTATAAAGGGGGGATAATAATAATAATCTGTTCTCTTAGAATTGTGATGAGGAAGACATGAAATTACGTAAAGTGCTTAGTACAGAAGCCAGGCCACAGTAAATTCAGGACAGGGGAGCTCTATTATTATTGTTGTTTTATTATTTTTATCTCTCCGATGGTATCTATGTTTTTCTTGGTCTGTGTCTCAAGTCTCCTCCCCTTCCGGCTTCCTTTTGCAGACAGCACCTTGCCCCTGGTTTTACTGGTCGGCATGGGCATAACATAACTTCTCTGCCTTCTCTACCTCCATTTCACGCCCAACTCGACAGTCAGAATACTTGCCTCGGGGTAAGGCCTGGCTCCATTCCATAAAGAGCCTCGTAAAACCCTGTCATCCGTGGGCAGATCCACGACTCTCGGGACCCAAGAGTCCCAGTTCCAAGACATCAACATTTAGGGTTCCCAACCTCACAAGTCCTTTCTGCCTCCCATCTCCCCGGGGCCTAAGAACTCTGTTCCTTCAGGATCGAGGAATATGGGTTCTTTAGTCTCATCCTCCCTCAAGACCCAAGCTTTAGGCCAGCAAACACCTCACGTATGTGCCACCAGAAATCCCTCTGCGCTCGACCATGCCTTTCAGCCCCAGAACCCTCAACTGGTCTGACTCATCCGGAGTCCAGCTGTGATAAGCTATCCATCACGTCAGTCACCACCATCCAGCCAATAGACACTTGCTTCTCCCCTCTCGAGGCCATTCAGGGCGCTTTCCGTGTTGGGCGGGATCGGTAGCCCAAAATGGACAGCGATTGGTTCTTGGAGACCGTAGTCTATGCCAGTCTGCCAATAGGCGGGGAACCTGCAAGTTGGCAGCCAAGTTAGCTCACCAGTGGTAGCAGCGGGCTAGCGAGGATACGGTTCTGCGGGTCCGTCTTGGTAAGCTCTTTCACGAATGACCAGTAGTGAGATTCAGGACATAGCTCAGATAAAAAGCAGAGGGAGCAGCTCAGTCAGAGTGAACTCAGTTTGCTCGACTGGAAAAACCGAGACCAGAGGATACATGATCTCAGATATTCATCCATTCCTCCTGCGCTAAACTTGATTTTCGTCTGCCCCTACACGCCCCGCTCATCCCTCCGTTCAACCCTTGCTGCTCTTATTAATGCCCTCACTCACTGATTCCTCCTTATAGCTATTCACTCATCACCCATTACTTAAGCGAACATTTCCCGAGGTTCTGGTTTATCAGGCTTGGTGCTATGGTGGGGATCAAGATGAGTCAGACTTGGGCCCTGCCCTGCAGGAGCCAAGGTTTGTCGGGAGGGCACACTGATGGGCTTGAGTGGGAAGGGGCGGGAGAGAACAGAAGAGTCTATTTTGGGGTTTGGTGTGGTCAGGAAAGGACCTCCAGAGGAGGGGCCATTGGAGCTGGATCTTGGAGGAGCACGAAGTGTCAGGCAGAGAGGGAGAGGCAGGCGTGGGAAGGGTGTTTCGGTGTGAGCAAGGCCAAGAAGGCATGCAGGAGCATTACTGTGTGCAGATGCCCAAGGGGAAGGCCAGTCACATCTGCTTTGCCAGGAGGGAAACTAAGGCTGAAAGACGATGAGGAGGTGGATATAGGCAGAAGCCTTGCAGAGGAGCTTGGTCTCTTTACTTGGGTGGGGTCGATGAGAGATTAGGGAGCCATAGAAAATTTAAAGCAGGGGTGGACCAGGTCAGGGCTGGGACCAGAACAAGAGGAATGGGACTGGTAGCCAGCACCCAGGAGGTGGCTCTGGCAGAGGCCCAGACAGGAGGGAATGGAATTTGGATCAATATAGAGGCTGAGGGCAGATTAAGGAGGTGGAGTCAATGGCCAGTGGGATGAGGGGTGTCCAGGAGGAGGTCCAGAGTTCCTGCACATCTCAGGGTGCCACCCCTGAGATGGGGGTAAGGAAGAGGAACAGACTAGAGGTGATGACTGTTTTGACAGAGAAGTGGTGGTGGTGGGTTGTATATAGATCTGGACCCTTAGGGAAATTCTGGGCTAACCCTCCTTCCCATCACAGGCCTTGATTCAGAACTTACTTGTTGGAAGCTGGGTATGGTGCAGCACTTGGGAGGCTAAGGCAGGATAATCACTGTGACTATTAGGTTAGCTGGGGGCTACAAGGAGAGTTCAAGGCCATCTGGAACTATATAATGAGATCTTGTCTCAAACAATAGTGAAAGAAACCAAAAACCCAAGCCAAGCCCCAAATCAAACCAAACCAAACAAAAATTATAACACCCCCCAAAAGCAAAACCTCAAACAAATAAACAAGTTCCTAGTTGGCTGGATGAGGGCTTCTGAAGTGAAGATCCCCTGCTTCCTTCCCATCCATCCAGAAAACAGCTTTCTTGTCCTTTCATCTCTCCCTTCCTGGCAGCATTAAAACACATTCCATAAAAACAAAAACAATAGGCTGGGAATTTAGCTCAGCAGGCATAAGAGTCTGCCTGGCAAGTGTGAGATTGTGAGCTCCATACCTGGTACCAAAAAAACAAAAAACAAAAACACAAAAAACCTTCCATCAGGCCCCCATGATCTGTTATCTTTTTTACTGCTAAAGACTTGGATACCCACTGGTTCAAAAACAAAAAATTCTTTTGTTTTTGTTTTTGTTTTCGACACAGAGTCTCTCTATGTAGCTGGGGCTGGCCTTGAATTCACGATGTAGCCCAGGCTGGCCTTGAGGGTTCAGTGATCCTCCTGCCCTAGCCTCCCAAATGCTGGGATTCCAGGCGTGCACCACCACACCTGGCAATATATCTTAATTTTTTCTACTCTCTCTCACTCCCCACATCTGGCTGTCCCCTCCCAGGCCTCTGCAAGGGTTCTGGATAAGGTCTCTGAGGTCACCTGCTCATTGCTAAGGCCCAAGAATAACATTTCAGTCCTCCTTTGTCACAGATGACTTCCTCTTGTCTGAAACGTCCTTCTTTCTTGGCTTAGGTGGCGTCTTCCTCCTCTAGCTGCTCCCCAAAACCCTCCAATATTCCCTTCTCACTGCATACTTCATTACTGGGGGCCATGGACCTCTAGTCCCACCTACTCATTCTTCTTTTGTTTGTTTGTTTGGTTTTGTTTGATACCAGGGATCAAACTCACTGCTTGCCAGGCAGGCGTTTGTGCTGCTGAGCTAAATTCTGCTCATTCTTCTTAGAAAGGTTCCAGTGTCTTGGCTGTAGCAAAATCGAGTGCCTACTCCACTACTCCACTGCTCCCTGGATGTCCCTAGAAGTGTCTCACAGACCTTTTATCTGTGAAAAGTGGCTCTGAGCATTTGTTTCTACTACACATTTACACATACCTAAGTTTCTTCCCAGTGAAGAGACTGTCTCACCGGCCACTAGTTTCCCTGGGCCATCTGTCTTCTGCTCGTCTGTAATGTCCTGCTTATCCAGCCTCAGGTGTGGCCCTGGGAGCCCCATCTGTACTCCCTCCCCGAGTTACCATCGTGCGGGCTCAGGCCTTGCCTGGTCTTGTGCCAGGCCCCCTCCTTTGCCTCCAGAGTGCACTCTTGCCCTTTTCCATCCATCCTCTAGTGCCCCAGCAGGCTTTTGCAATGCTCACCATTGACCTTGGCCTGTTCTTGCTCAGAGCACTTCTGGGGCTCCCCACGGCTTCCAGTTACAGTTCAAATTGCACCCCAGACTCTCCACCATCTGCCAGACCCTTTAGGTCCTTCAGGCCACTGCCTGTTGTGCACCTGACCTGGCCAAGTGAAGGGCATGATGACTGCCTACTACTAAGCTCTTCACAGCCTGACATATTTTCTCTGTCTAGCAAAGTTGCACTCATCCTTTAAGGTCTAGCTCTGACAATCTCTACTATGAAGCCCCCCGGGACTACTACAGGGAAACCTCTGGATTTAGGACCATAAGTCCCTTGAGGTCAGGCCCTGAATACAAATCATCTTCACTCTAAATATGCAGGGCCCACACCGATTTGGTTGAAGGACTGTTACAGCCCGGCAGACTTTGTACTTGTAGTATTGTTTCTGGTTTTCTAACTCTGCTCTAGCTCCGTGGGGGAACTTTTGGAGCCTTTTTCTCCTTTGGTGGGCCCCAGGGTTGGGTTTGTAGAAGGGAGGAGTCTTTCACTGGAGCCAGGGGGACGTGTTGTGCTGCAAGGATGGATGAGAGAAGCTGGAACCCTGCTGTCAACCTGGATTGGGTCTGAGGAGTGGGTCTCTGTGAATGGAAGCCACTCTCCCAGGTCCAGACCCATAGATCCCAGGTTTCCTAACTAGCAGCTGAGTCCCACGACACTGTCTCCTGCTGGGCTTTTTCACACATCCCACCCTACTTGAGAGAGGCCAAACTAATTAAATACTTTTATTTACAAAAAAACAAACGGACTTGCAAGAGTCGGTAGCAGCAGCAGCAGCAGCAGCAGCAGCAGCAGCAGCAAGACAGTAGTGCAGTGCAGGTCCGGTGCCCAGCGTGTGCACGCCCTCCTCCCCGGGCCAAATCTCAGCACTGGGCCCCTGCCCTACCCCCTCGAGGTCCCCAGACTTAAGGCACGGCCAGCCCTCCCGCCTCCGCCGCCGGGTAGGACTGTCCCAGATCACATTTACCACCGAGGCCGGTGCAGATGGGAACAAGAGGTCTTTAGTGTCACTCTCCAGGGCCCCCGTCTCCCCAGGCTGCTTGGCCCAGGCCTGGCCCCCTCAGGGATGCGCTGGCGCGGCTGGCGGAGTAAGGATGAGGCGGATGCGCTCTACGCACAGCTGGGCGGCCTGTCGTGTCTCCCGGCACAGCGAAGCCAGGCTCAGGAAGCCGTGCGGCAGGTCCTCCACGACGCGCAGCGTCACCGGCTGGCCCAGTGCCCGCAGTCGCCGGGCGAACATGACTGAATCGTCCAGCATGGGGTCCAGTGCACACGCCTGCAGGACGCCCATGTCGGGGCACCAAAGGGCAGAGTAGCAGGGAGAGGGAAGCACAGGGGCGCGGACATGGTGGGGATGCGGGAGTCGGGAGTGAATAGAGGAGGAGGTGGAGGTGGACAAAGCGGGGAGAGATGCGGTTAACTAAGCTCCCTGCCCTTTGCCCAGCCTCCTCACCCCAGCCTGGCTTGCTTTTCTCCCTTCATCAAAGCCCTTGCTTTTGACTCCGCCTCCTCCCAGCTCCCGGCGCCAGCCTCTGGAGTCCCACCGCGCAGTCCCGCATTCCACACTCACCACGATGTGCACAGGCGGCAGGGTCTTGAGCATGTGATCGGGTGCCAGCAAAGGTGACATGAAGGGGTTCTTGACGATGGGCGCTGAGTAGAGGGGCATGTGGATAGGACCTTGGCTGGAGCGCCGCGGGTGAAAACCTTCAGGGAAGGTGGCTGGGCTGCCAGGGCCTCTGTCCTTGGTGCTCAGCGCTTCGTTGGCCTCTGCCTCTTCCAGGGCATCCTCAGGCCGCAGAAACAAGTTGACTTCAGAGGGTTTGGAGGGGGCAAGTGCCTCCAGGGACTGTGACATCTCGGACAGCTTGGAAGTGTCTGACGACTCGGAGTAGCCCTTCAGGCTCAAGTTTTTCAGTCCCTTGAGGGAGTCTGTGTCAAGTGGGCTCTCCTGCTGGGCCAGGGCAGCCTCTGATACACTTCGGCGTATTGGCTCTGTGGGAGGATTAGGGTCAGGGTCAGGGGTTGGATGGCGCCGCAGAGCAGCCTGGGTCTGTTAGCTGGGCATGTAGGTGGCAGAGAAGGAAGGTTAAGGGGGAGGATTGTGGCTTGTGGGGGTCTAGGACGTTTCTCTAGACTGCCCTGAGGGTGTAAATAAGCAAGCAGTCCCAGGCTGCCACTTCCGCAGGGCATCGGTTCCATGGTAATCTTGGAAGCGGAACTATCTCCTAGCACAGGGTGTGTGTGCCCCTGGGAAAGGCAAGTGCATACACTTCTGGGAACTTCATTTTCTTCTTTTGTACACAGGCAACAGAAATAGCCTCACTCATAGGATGGTCAGAATGTAAAACCTCGATGGGACGAGGTATGTGGGATTAGGTACAGTACTACCACCCCGTGGGAGATCATAATGTATCAGTAGTAAGGTTTTATTACCAGGCGTGCCCTGTTCCAGCCACCTCCAGCCCCAGCAGGAAGGCCACACCAAGCTCTTCATGGCCCTTTGATATAAAGGGTATGAATGCATCAAAGTGCCCAGAATAGTGTGTGGATCCACAAGGCTTGAGAAAGGTTCTGCTCGCAGGGAGCTAACAAGAGTCTCCAGAGCATATTAGTTTCCTGGGGGCTCCACACTTGTAGGCACATGGATCTGTTCCCAAAAGCTCCCTTCATGTTTTTCAGTTTTATCTCTTTTCTTTGAAGGACCAAGCAGACAAAGTGCCCAAGTAATGCTAAAGGTACGCTTCCAGCCCACCCAGGGTGTCTGTCTTGGCTTCAGCTCTATTAACTTTGTTTTTAGGCTTACCTCTAGGGCAAGGATACCCCATTTCAGGTTTTACACTTGTTTGTTCACTTATTTTTGAGATAGGGTGTCACTATGTAGTTCAAGATGATTTTGAACTCACTATGTTGCCCAGGTTGGCCTTGAACTCATGGCTATCCTCCTGCCTCAGCCTCCCGAGTGCTGGGACCACAAGTGTGTACCACCTTGCCTGGTTTACATTTATCAACCATGAGGCCAAAATGTAAGAGGATGTGAGAAAAACTGCATTAAGTGCTGTGATCCAGAGGGTTATTGGAATTGTTGACATAGGGCACTGAGACTTACTTCTTCCAAGTACCTGCTGTGTGGCAGGAATTGTGCTAGGCATCTGACACACTGAGTACATGGAGTCTTCACAGTGACCCAACAGGCAGGCATTCCTGTGTCCACTTCACAAAAGAGCAAACCAAAGCTCACAGACACTGTGACTTGCCTGTGTCACCAATGACTAGTGAGTAAGCATGGAGCCATGTGCCCCCAAGGATGCCTTTGTCACATCTGTCCTATAAGGACACTTCAGTGCTCAATGGCCCACTGCCTCAAATTCAATTTCCTTTTAATTCTTTCTGTGTGTATACATTTGCATCTCTCTGAAGGCACTAAAATTGAAAACTTGAACCCATTCAATTGGAATAATTTTTTGAATAACTGGAACTGGATCTTTCTTTTTCTTTTTTGTAAGATGATGTCTTACTATGTAGTCCAGGTTGGCCTTGAACTCACTGTGTAGCCCAGGCTGGCCTCAAACTCATGGGCATCCTCTTGCCTTAGCCTCCTGAGTGTTGGGTTTATACATCACCATGCCTGGCTGAATCTTTTTTTTTTTTTTTTTTGTCTTTTTGAGACAGAGTCTGGATATGCAGTTTAGGCTGGTCTCGAGCTCACTTTGTAGCCCAGGCTGGTCTTGAATTTGCAATGATTCTTCTGCCTCAGCCTCTTGAGTGCGGGGATTAGAGGCCTATGCCACCAAGCCTGGCTTCGATCTACTTTTTTTTTTTTTTTTGGTGCGGGGATTGAACTCACAATTTCACAGTTGCCAGGCAGGCGCTTAAGCTGCTGAGCTAAATCCCCGGCCCTCAATCTGCTTTTGAATGTATAACTCCTGTTATTCAGAAAACACTGTGGATTTACTAGAGGTAGAAAATAAACTGAATTGGCTATGCCTTAAAATCCTTCAAATGTAAGTGGATTTCTGGATGGAAATGATTTTTGGCTCCATGAGGGTCCTGCGCCCACTTAAGACCGGGAAGCTCCACTTTCCAGGGTTTGTACAATCTCTTGATCTCCCCTCATCCTGGCTCGCAGGGCAGCTGCTGTAGTGGGGAGGAAGGTGACCTGAGCCCTCTGTATCCCTGTCAGAAGTCTGTAGAAAGAATTGAGGAGGGCTGCACTCCTACCTAAGGGATTTGGGTAGAGATTTTGGGGTTGAAAATCCAGATGCCTAGCATATCTTCTGAGTCACTTCCCAGGGTGTGGGCTGCCTGAGCTGTTCACAAAACAATTCCTGGAATTCTGAGATTACCCAGGGGATTTGAAGTCCTGGAATTCCCAGGATATGAAATATAGAAAATCAAGGCTTTGTAGCAGAACCAGGCGTGGATCTGGGACAAAGGGGAAGGTAGTCTCTGCTTTATTTTGCCCAGAGGCTCAGATCCTTTCCTCCCCTGGGACTTCCGTTGCATCTGGCCATCCTTCCTGACCAACAGGGCTGGATGTGTTATGGGAGGCTGTCACTCACCTGCAACAGGCACTGGTTTCTTCTGGGACTTGTGCCCGCTCAGCTCCAGGAAGGAATTGAGCCAGGAGGAGGCACCCAGGCGGATATCTCTGAGCAGCAGGGATGTGTCCCGCCGCACTATCCCCATCATGCCCAGTGCCTTCTCGTCTGAGCCGGAGTGGTCCTCTGTTTCTGCACCTGCAGAATGTAATGAGGGGCTGACTTGCTCTCATCTTTCTAGGTGGAGAAAATCCCAGAACTTCAAGCATCTGTGTCCCCAGGGGTCCAAGAATATCTGATTCATTCAAAAGGAAGAAGCCTCAGATCCCCCTGCCCTGTTCTTCCTTCCTCAGGCCTGAGACTGTACCCTAGCCCCTGTCCCTGAAGGATCCAAGCCACCAAGCACACCAGCCCTGCTTGGAGTGTGTTTGTGTGAGTCTCACCTGCATAGGCGCTGACACACTTGGAGAGCACGCTAAGGGGCAGCAGTGGGTCCATGAGGCTCAGAAGGCGGGAGGGCGAGGCGGCAGACTGCAGCATCGTGGCTGGGTAGGCTGCCATGATGCCATCAGGGACCCGCACCCCATAGGCTGCTGCTCGAAGGGACACCGTGAAGCAGAGATTCCCACCTGCACTGTCCCCGGCAAGGCATATCCGTTCCCCTGTCGAACCTAGTTAGAGGGAAGTCAAGGGCTTGGTCACAGCATGACAGTCAGGGAAGGAGGACAGGGAGGAGCTCAAGCTCTGGGCTAGAACTGGGCCCCCAGAGGCAGGTGTGGGCTTCCCCAAGGTCTGGCAGCCTGCCATTTAGAGACTGGCAAATCGAGGCAGGGATTTGGGCCTGTTTGGTTAGACAGTGGTCTACCAAGGCATCAGGATCTAAGAGAGGATCGAGAAGACTTGGACATGGAGAGACCCTGGGATCTGGAAGTGCAGGGAATCAGGAGGCTGGAAGCAGCAGCAAGGCAGGTGGCAGAAAAAAGGAGCTCAGGGTTCGTTTCCGGGTGGAGGAGTGTCAGAGGCTGGGAAGCCGAAGGTTTATGCTGTTGGAACAGAGAGGACTGTCCTCTGCTCTGTACCTCAGCATTCTCCTAAAGTTTTTGGTATTCTAAGGGGGTAGGGGGTGAGGAACTGCAGAACAGTCGGCACTGAGCTAGCAGACTGGCAGCTCAGGGACTGGGGCAGCTGAGGGAGGCAAGAAGAGACAGCAGCAGGACAGCTAGGGGGGTGACAAAGGAGGAGGAGGAAGAAGAGGAGGCCAGGCTGGAGTGAGAGAGCGGGAGGCAGAGATAAAAGTGGCTAGGGAAAGGATGGGCAAGAATGGGGCAGGCAGGTGGTGAGATACCCAGGCAGCAGGGGGAAGGGGGCAGGCTGAGGCTTAGGAGCTAATGGTTCACTGCCTCTGCAAGACAGGGGCTGAGGTTGAAGCAAGTTGCGCTGGGGCTCACCGAGGAGGGCGCAGTGCTTGACAGCCCAGCAGTAGGCGAAGAAGCATTCCTCCAGCGCTCGGGGGAAGGGTGCCTCGGGGGCCAGGGAGTAGTCGATGGAGATGATAGGGACACCCAGCTCCTGGGCCCAGCTCTTGAGGTAGGGCTCATGGGATTTGGAGGTCTGGGCCACAAAGCCGCCACCGTGGATATGTACTACCAGGGATTGAGATCGGGGTGCCTGCTGGTGCCGGGGCCGCAGCTCCAGGCTCCATGGGCCCTCGGATTTCACCAGATTGCTGATCGCCTCACTGTCCTGGGGGTGAGGAAGGAGGAGGTGAGTAAGGCTAGGCTGGGCCTGCCCTGGCCTTACCCCTCCAAGAGGTTGTGCTCTGTTGGTGTGTGTGTGTGTGTTGGCGATGGAGGGCACAGGGACAGTGACACAGGGACAGCAGGAGGTGCACCCTGGGCTAGGGGCTGCCTCTGTTCCTCAGCTGTGCTTTGGCTTCTGGCTGAGGTCGTGGGTCTTACCTGTCCTTCACGGAGTTCGTAGGAGATGAGCCTGATGAGGACAGGCCCTGGGCCTGTGTGGGCCAAGGGAGGTGAGATGGTGACTGTGAGCTTGGGGTCAGAGGTCAGAGGCATCTCAAAGGCCTCAGGCGGCAGGCTGAGTAGGCGGCTAATTCTCACAGTGACTGATGCCATGTTGGCCAGAGACTAGTGGGAGGGAGAAAAGGGTGATGAGGAGAGGCTGCCTGCGGGGTGCCCACCACTTCCCTTGCTACCCTCATGTACTATTCCTGAGCCTAGGGCCCAGCAGTAAACTGCTGTGGCTTTGGACACGTCTTTGGACTTCAGTGTGGTATCCTCATCTGTAAGAGTGCAGGACCCTCACCTGGCCCTGTGCTTACCGACAACACCTCGATCTCTGTGATATTCCAGAAGGCTTTCCAGAAGTGCACATCCAGGTTCTGTATGATCCGCTCAAATTCAGCCCCACGAAGTTCTGGGTCGATGGCAAAGCGGCCACTGGTGAAGAGTGAGCTGGCGGTCACACCTGGGGTCGGGGAAGGGTGTCAGGGAGTCCCAGTCAGTCAGGTTGCCCTGCAGGGCTGGAGAAGGGGGGGCAGGGAGGCTGTGGGCAGGGCCTGGCCAGCACTCACTGAGGCCTGTCTCATTGCGTTTGTAGTGCTCCCCAAAGGACACCAGCCCGATGGAGATGGTCTGCAGGAACGGTCTGATGGCAGGCGTGAACTGTGGAGAGACACTAGAGTCACCTGCCCACCTTGGACAGGGTCCAGAGGAGGGCAGCAGTGGAGGGTAGAGATGTGTGGGGAGGTGCATTCGATTAGGAAGCATTTTTGAGCTCCTGTGTGTGCTGGGCATAGCTCTAGGCACCATAATGGACCTGGTATTCTTTTTTTTTTTTTTGTCTTTTTGAGAAAGGGTCTTACTATGTGGTTCAGGCTGGCCTTGGGCTCACTTTATAGCCCAGGCTGGTCTTGACTTGCAATGATCCTCCTGCCTCAGCCTCCTGAGTGCTGGACCTAGTGTTCTTAAAAGGAAGAGAAGTGATAAGCAAAGAAAGAGAGACATGCAACACAGTGTTAAGGGGCAGCACATGATTGTGAGGCAGACAGCAGGGGGAGCAGGCAGGCTCAGAGACAGCAGACAGCAGCCTCAGTGAAGACTGAGGCTGGGGGGCTGGGGATTTAGCTCAGCGGCATAAGCACCTGCCCTGCAAGCAGGCAGTCATGAGTTTGATCCCCGGTACCGATAAAAAGGAAAAAGAAAAGCAAAAAAAAAAAAAAAAAAAAAAAAAAAAAGACTGAGGCTGGGGGCCCTAAGTGAGGGGAGGGTGCTCACGGCAGAGGGTACAGGGAGTGCAAAGCTCTGGGGTGGGCTGTGCTGGGCACAGGCAGTGAGGTGAGGCTAGGGGGCCAGGAGGGCTGGACAGTAAGCTGGGGAAAGGCAGGGAAGGGCAGAGAAATGGACTCAGGTGGTGACTTTCCTTGTAATATAAGGACAGCTACTGGATGCCTGTGAGCTGGGGAGTTGGATGACAACAGGGATCTCCTAGAAGGAGTGCAGGCAAACAGTGCAGGCAGTTCCAGAATGGCAGGAGGACAGCAGTGGGGAGATGGCCAGGACAGCCTAATAGGTACTGGGATCTTGGGCCAAAAAGCCAGATGGGAGACCAGCTGAGGCTTAGAGATGGGGACAAATGGCTGCCACAGAGGAATGGGGAGATGGTATCCCAGAGAATGGACAGGAAGTTAGCAAGACAATGGGGAGATAGGTTCAGAGGAAGCAAAGCTGGCCGAGGTTGAAGCAAGGGGCATGCAGGGTTCCTCTGTTCATTCCGCAAACACTGGCCACGGCCCTAGAGTGTGCTGGACACCCGGCAGGGCTGGGAAGGAGCCAGGATGGGGAGGCTTCTGCCCTCTCTGGGGCTGACACGTTAGATGGGGAGACTGGGCACTGAGAGAAGCTGTCAGCTGGCTCTGGCCCTGGCCCTGGCCCTGGCTGTGTGCCCAGTAGGCCAGAGAGCACAGGGTGCCTGGCCCCTGTGGCAGGGATATTGGTTTAGGCAGCTCAGGATCTCTTTCTCGTGACTCCAATGTCACTTTCAGGACATGGGGAGGGCTGGGTTGGCTCTGCTGAGCTGATGGTATTTGTGCATTCAGCCTGAGTGAGGGGAGGTTTCCAGAATTCCAGGCTGAGTTGCTGAGGCCAGGCTGAGTGGTAGGGTAGGGTAGGGAGGCTGAGAGACTGTCAAGCTCGGCTATCACTGAGGTGGAGAGAGGCCCAGAGAGGGTGGAAGGGACTAGAGAGTCATACAGCTCCAGACCCCCCTACTGGGGTTCCCTGGTACAACTGGCGGTGGTTGATAAGCTGGCCCTGACCACAGACAGGCAAGATGTTTCTTTGTTCTGAGCCTGGTCCCCCAACTCTCCAAATCCCCAAGTCACTTATTATACAAGTTTAAGAGCCTTGGACTGCCTCGATTTCTATGTGATGAGGTTTGTCTCTCTAAGGGTGCTCTGGCTTGAGTAGAAGATAGAAGAAGGCTTGTAACTGGGGTCAGGATGCCTGGTTCAGGGAGAAGTGTGGGTACCACCTGGTGTTTCCCACTTCTCCTGATGGGCTTGTTGGTCCTCCCAAGGACTGCCTGAAAATCCTGTGATTCCACAGCCACTTGAAAGAGGACCTGGTCTGGTGGCTATGGCTTGGCACACTCCAGAGCCCCAGTGGTTTTGACTCAAGGGGACGCCCTCATGAGAAAAATGCTGACCATCATCCTAGGGGTCTCAAACTCAAGAGACTTCCGGGGCAGGACAGGTAAGATCGGAGTGAATGAATCTCCGGAGTGTTAGACAACAGACAGTAGTGGGGATCCAGGTGAAAAAACCTGTGGAAGCTAAGGATTTCTCAGGACACGGCGGATGTAGTCCGAGGCTATGAATTGAGACTCCCAGGCTAGCTCTGAGCTCCAGCCAACTTCCCGTTTCCTGAATTCAATAATACCAACCACTGTGGTTACTATGCTATACTACAGGGCCAAATTAGGAGCAACTAGTGCCTTCACCGTGGGCCCAGAGGGACCAGAGAAGGGGGCTCACCTGGAAGCCCAGGCAGCGGCCATAGAAGCAGCCTTTATGCAGTGTGACATACTCCTGCAGGAACTCAGCAGTGAGCCTCTCATCTCCCTCAAAGAAGAGGCCCCCCGGCTGGTTGGTGGCCAGCAAGTGCTGGGCATAGTAGGCCAGAGCACGGAGCTGGGTGAGGGCGACCAGGTAGGCCTCCAGTTCTGCCAGGTTGTGGCTGGCTCGGAAGAAGATGCTGCGGCGGTTGGAGGCCACGTAGCGGGATTTGTGGAGCAGGTGTGCCAGGCAGCAGCGGGCTGTGTGTACCAGGCTGCGGTACCCATTGGCCGGTGTCTCTGAGTCTAGGTCAAAGAGGTGTGCCACGCCCAGCAGGCGGACCAGGGCTGGCTCCAGCCCCAGTGCCTGCTCTCGCACACCTGCAAAAACGCTTGTCAGCCGCCGTGCCGTCTCCCCGGGTCCCTGGCTGGAGAAGAAGGCCATGTTGTCTTCCGCCAGGGTCACCAACGACTGTGTCATCGTGTGCAGGTCCATGGTATGCATGAACCGGGAGGCTGTGGGCAGGTGAGGAGGCCAGTTAGCCCTGGCTGGGGATGCCCGTCGCTGTACTGAATCTGGAGATCCAGGCTTTGTGTTTGACTCCTGGCCCTTACCCTCCCAGGCCCAGAGGCCCAAGACTCCAGGTCCTCCCCCCTCCACTTGAAGGTTACCCCTCATCTCCCCAGGACTTCAGGGCCTCATCATCATCCTTCTTTAGCACTAGCAAGTCCAGGTCCCCAGTATCTTTCTGCCTTTTCAGAAGCTGGGAGTTCAAGCCCTCAGTCTTCTGAATCCTAGGGATCCAGGCCCTAACCCCCACCTCTTCAAGGCTCAAGGCTCCCTGCTTTCTCCTGCTGGTGACTCAGAAACCTGCTGTCTCTGGCCATCCCCTCTCTGTTGGACCCAGGAGTCCAGGCAATCTGCCGAACCCACAAGAATCTAGTTTCCTAAGCTGGGAGTAGAGGCATATGCTTATAATTCCAGTTCTCTGAATAGCTGAGGCAAGAGGATTACAAATTCAAACCCAGCCTAGGTAATTTAGTGAGAGACCCTGTAATCCCAGCATCCAGGAGACTGAGATAGGAGGACTGCTGTGAGTTCAAGTCCAGCCTAGATTACATGGTGAGACCCTATCTCTAAATAAACAAACAGATCCACAAATAATCTTGCTCAAAATAAAAAAAAAAAAATAAAAGGCTGGGATGTAACTCAGTGTGAAAGCTCTGGATTCAACACCCAGCCCCCACAAAAAGAAAACAAATCTGATTTCTTAGCATTTGTATCTTACCTATGACCCAGGAATCTGCCCTCCCTTCTGCCTTTCACAAATCTAAGAGTCCAGACACCTGACTTCCTTTATTCTACTGGGCCCAGGTCTCCTTCTCGTTGGCTCTGAGAAGTCTGGACTCCCAGCTGGTCCCTTCTTTAGACCCAGGAATCCAGGCCACATCCCATCTTTCCTCCTTAGGCCCCAGGGGGTGCCCACAGGTCCTTCTTCACCAACAGTGTGTGGGAGTGTTTAGCACCTTCCTGCCCACTCCCATCTCCCAGGACCCTGCTCCCATGCCTCACACCCATTCTAAACCCAGGAGTTCCCAATTCTGGCCTTCACTGAGGACTCATTCTTGTCCCCAAGCCTGAGAGTGGAATCCTCTCCAAACTCCAGCTCCTTCCTGTTCCCCTGTGGAGGCCTTGAAGCTTAGAATCACTTTTCCAGCTCAGTCCACGGGATGCACTTAGACTGCATGGCCAGCCCTGCTTGCTGGCTGGAAAATCAGTATTTATCATCACCACTGACCTTGGGCTTACTCTGTCTGTGTCAGGCACTGTGCTAAGGTTTTTTTTTTTTTTGTATTTTTGCATTTGACGCATGGGCTCTCGGATACCCAGAATGCCTATGCTCAGATCTCTACAACTGCTAGCATCTGTGCTTTATAGGAGAGGAAACAGGCTCAGAGGGCTTCAGTAAGGAGCTGAAGGGTACACAGAGTGGAAGTGCTGATTCAAACCCAGATTGCTGAGTCCAGAAGCTGGTCTCCAGCCCAAGACTCTGGAGGTCAGGCTTCTAGCTTTTTGGTTCTCAAAACTTGCCTGTATCACATCAGATTCCCATGCTTCAGGTTCCCTGTCATAGTGTCCCTCAAATCCCTGTCCCCTCAGCAATGAGGCAGCCTGCTTTTTGGATGGCCTGTCACCCAGGTCCTGGACAAGCTGCTGTTGCCCCCTTGGCGTGGAAGCCACCACCTGCCTGTGGGACAGGTTCCTGAACCGTGATGCCCTGCCTAGCTCCTTGTCTCCCTGTTCCCCCAGAAGGTGTCTGCCCTCCCTTCCAGGTCCTGAGGTCAGGCAACAGCCATTCCTGTCCCTCAGCTGGTGGGCACTCACCCCGCCCAGGCCTCTTCAGAGCTGGAGCTCCCTCAGCTGGGACTGCTGGTCTGTGGTTAGTGCCAGTAGCAGCTTGGGGCGATAAATCAGGGGAGGGGCCAGCCTGCCTAGGGTGTGGCCACCCTGTCTCCCTCCCAGAATGGACACTGAAAACACATGCTGTAAACAGAACACAAATCCAAGTCCTTGCCAGCCCCAGATCCACTGAGAATCCTGTCCCAGGCTCCTCTGCCCTAGAACCCAGGAGTCCAGGCCCCAGCCCCTCTCGTTTTGACCAAGGAATGCAGGGTCAGAACCTCTTCTCTCCCTCAGGACTCAGGAGTCTCAGCCTCCGTCCTAAACACTCTGTCCCCTCTCACCCAGCCGGGCTGCCCTCCCTTCCTCAGAGTGGCTTCCAGGAGCCAAGGCCCAGTGATCTCCATTCCCACCCCCAGGCTGGTCCTGGCACAGGCGTCCCCAGCTGTTGGTGGAAGAGACAAAGTGGCCAGCCCTGCTTATCCCTTGAGAGAGAACAAAAGCCAATTAAGGGCAGTGCCAAGCTCAGCTAGGAGCCTGAGCCATAAGTCCTACTAGAAGGTGTTCCCAGCCTAGGCAACTTGTATCTGCCACTTATCCTTCCCAGTCCTCCCTGCTCAGCCACCTTCACCTCTCAGACAGGGGCACTGAGACACAGAGAGACACTTTGCTCAAGTTGGGGCATAAGCTTTTTGCCTGGCTGGCTCATTCTTGTCCTTCAGGCCTAGCTTGAGGCCTTCCCTAATTGCTCCTCCCCATCTAAGATGTGTACCCTCATTTGTTTCTCCCATAGAGCTTAGTTCTTTCTCAGCATCTTACACATTCTGTAATCAATTAAGCTTTTTTTTTTTTTTTGAACCAGGGATCGAACTCACGACCTTGTACTTGCCAGGCAGGCACTTACACCACTGAGCTAAATCCCAAGCCCCACATTCTGTAATCATACATTTATTTATTTGCTATTTGTCTTCCAGAATAAAACAAGGTTTTACGGAGTTGTGAAGCTCATAAAGTATGGGTGTGGCTCTTTAAGAAGAACACAAAATTATAAAGGCAAAATTAGGCACAGGGCTCTAGAAGGAGTGTGGGTAAATGTAAGGCCCTGAAGTCTCAACATTATTTGGCTGACTGTAGGTTAAGTCCTCTTTGTCTCTGCCCTAGACTGTCATCCTCAGGAGGGCGGGTGGCGGCCCCAGGGGTTACCATGTGGCTTAGGGGATAGCTGGTACTCAAAAAGTGTCTGAAGAAGGAAGACGGCATGACTAGGCATAGTGGGAGCCAAAGAGGGAGAGATGGGAGGACTGTACCTCCCCAGTGTTGGTGAACAGATGGAAAGATGGGCAGACAAGGGCTGCAGGAGGCAGTTAAGATGGTGGCTGAGACACTGAGACATTAGCCCAACCCACCTGTCAGGCAACTGCAGGCACATCTGGCTTCAGCATATGGAAACTGCTCGGCCATACTGTCCACTTGGGGTGGGTGACATGCTTTACAAGCAGGTCCTCATGGATGTCACTTTTTTCTTTCTCTTCTTTTGGTGGTGGTGGGGATGGAACCCAGGGCCTCACTCATGCTAGGCAAGCGCTGTACCACTGAGCTATGGCCCCACCTCAAGGAGGCACTTTCTGCATTTTGTTCGGTGAGCTTGCTTAGCTGCTTGGAGATAGTGGACTGGGTCATTTTTCCCTGTGGCCTTATCACTTTTTATGTTCTTTGCTGTTTCTCTCACTAGATTCTAGGTTTCTGAAGGTAGGATCGTTTCTGTTTTCTTCAGTCCTTGTACAGTGCTGGGTACGCTTGCTAAATATTTCCTGACACTGGTATTTCCCTTTTCTAGATTGTCTCATTCACTTCCCTCTGGGGTATAGGTGTCTTTATGAAAGATGAGGAAAGAGGAAGCCTCTGACCGAGTAACACGCACAGAGCAATGAGGAAGGGGGAAGGGGCTGCATCTCCACACTGGTGACTTCAAGGCCCTGCCCTGTGCCCTGCTTCAGGCAGCTCCCTGAAGGCCCAGCCTGCTGGAGACAACAGAAAGGGATACTGAGGTTGCCAGAAACTTGTTAAGAATGCCAGGCAGAGGGCACTGGGGCCATGGGTAAACACGGCAGGAGTGGGGCAGAGGTAGCGACCAGGGGTCTGGAAGAGATTGTTCATTTGACTAGGCACCAGGCCTTTGGCCTAAAAAGCTACTAAATCACTGGACCCGGCATGGTTTTTGGCTCCTGGAGATGCAGCAGGGCTGAAAAGGGCAGTGGAGGAAGTGTGTAGGGGTAGATGAAGATGGGCCAGGTCTAAAGCCTGGGAGGGGGCAAGGGCTTCTGAGGTGGGCAGGCCTGAGATGCTGGGGTCAGATGCAAGTGGGGGCAAGTGAGCGAGCCCCTCTTTGAGAGTCCCCTTGGAAGAGCAACCATGTACTAGTACTGTTCTTCTTGTGCATCGCATAAAGGAACTTGTGTCATCCTCTCCACGACCCACAAGGTGGGGGCCATTATCATCCTCTTTAGGCAGATGAAAAACAGAGGCACAGAGAGATGATGTGACTGCCTAGGGTCACAGAGCCAGCAAGGGGCAGCTCCGGGACAGTGCTACTGGTCTCTGCATGTGTTTCTCTGTCTCTGTGTTTCTCTCTCTCCAATGCTCCTTTTTTCTGTGCCTCTGCTGGGTGCTTTTTGGGGTAGTCAGGTGTGCGAGTGTCTTTGGGGTTCAGGTGTAAGCATGTGCTTTTGTAGACATGTGTCATGCCCCATATGTCCTGCCTGTGTTTGTGGGTGTGTTGCCATTTTTTTTTCTCAGTCTGCACACTTTCATGCTTTCTGTGTGTTGAAGGTATTTGTATAGAAGTGTCATGGCCTATGTATATTTCCCAGCCTGTGAGTGTATCTCCATTTTTCTTGGCTTGTGAGGACATGTGTATGCATAGACATCAATACATAGAGATGTTTGGATGTGTTCTGGTCTCTCTCTCTGTATATGTGTGACAGAAACAGACCTCTGCCCATTGCCCTAGCAGAAACCCAGAGTGTCAAACTGGCTACCTCTCTCCAATCTCCATCTCATCCATCACATAGTCCTGCCAACTCTGCCCTTTGGAGCCTCTGCAATCTCATCCTTCACCCATCTTTACTGTCCTCTTCCTGGTCCAGCCCTGGTCCATGCATGCTCATCTGAGTGTAAAGCTCTGCATGTGTGTGTGTGTGTTTGATTTCAATCTGTTCTGTGCATAGCATCCAGAGCATCTTTCTAAAACATAAATGGGACCACATACTTCTAATCGTTCAAAGCTCCAAGTTCTGGACATGACCTCCTGAATCAGGTTAGCCTGCTTGCTCCAGCCTCCTGTTACCACCCTGCTACTTCTCTGAGTTCTCCTACACTGTCATGTGCTGCTTTCACCAGCCTCAAGGTCTTTGCACATGCTGTTCTCTCTGTCCTCCCTGTCCCCTTGCCCACAGTGAATGACTGCCCATCCTTGGGCTCAATGTTACTTCCTTGAGAAGCCTCCCTCTTTCATTTTTTCCTCAGTTGTACCTGTCACAGGTTTACAATGATAGTGTTACTTGATTAACCTCTGTCTGGCCTGTTTATTGCTGAGAGCCAGAGCTGACGTCACCAGGTATTCAGTGAATGTCTGCTGAATGACTCTGTGACCAGAATCTTGTTGTGGGTGTAGAGTCAAGGCTGGTAGCAACAACAACTGCCAACTCACTCCTTGGTCCAAGGAGGCTGGAGGTGGCCAATTCTCTGCCTTGGCTAGGTCAGAAAGCATGGTGGCTTGAGGACTTCAGTGTCATCATCTAGGAAATGCGATGACGATTGTAATGACACTATTCTCATTCAGATACTGGCAAGATCAAACTGGTACTAAGGACTGCCCCAGCCAGCCTGGATGCCCTTGAGGCAGACAAGTTTGATTTACTTGTCTGAAACTGGGCACCAGGGAGAGCCTCAGGAAATGACAGGCAAATCTCACAGCTTGGGGGAATGTGCCTTTGTGAGTAGGTGGGTCTGCGTCCGTGTGTAGGATGGTACAGAGAGCCCTACACAAACATATTCTTTCTGACTCCTCCAGATAACCCTAAAGGAAGTGTGAGTAATAATATCCCTATATTACAGTTCACACATTCCTTCACTTATTAATCCAATAAATATCTAAGTGCCTATATGTCTGACATTACAGGCTGTGGCAATAGATAGTAAACAAGATAAACACAGCCCTAGTCTTTGGGAGCTCACTGTTTAGTGGGGACTAACAATAATAATCATTTCCATTTCCCCTCTGGGCTTGCTGCTGCCGAACACTGTACTTATTTGAACCTTATAGCAGTCCAGTACTACTGTCATTTTGACCATTTTAGAGCTCAGAAAGTCGAAGCAGGGAAAGGAGGAGGCTGTTGACCAGTATGCCACGCCTCCTAGCCTAAGAGCTGGGTCTCCACTGCCCAGGCTCTTCACCGTGGTCCCTCCTGCCTCTGGGTATGCTGTCCTGCTTCAGAGGCCCAGTGTCTTCTATGATTGCAGTTGCCCTCGGTCTCCAACCTGAACTCCCATCCTGTTTCAGCTGTGGGTTGCTCTGGAGGCAAATTCAGTTCTAAGCTTGATGAATGATTTGACAGGGGGAAAGATACACATTTGGAGGACCTTGAAGCGAGAGGGAAGGGGACATCAGTTTCCTTCCTGCACAGGAATTTCCCATAGAGCCTCAATGAGACTGGGAAAGACTCATTACTGAACCAGGACCGAACGCCTGCTGCTAAGTGAGGCTTGCATTATTTCTGTTAGTCTGTCAGTCTCTCTCTAACTTCCTAAGATCTAGGAAACCTAGGCGAAGGTCCTTTCTTCTCTTTAAGGAGGGTATTTGTAAATTCAAAGCCAACGTGGAGTCCTTGTGCAGGAAGGGGTGGGTGCCAGCAGTGCCGGGTTGGGGCAGGTGGACCGACTGTGAATGAATGGGTAGCTTGACTAGGCGCTGGACGATTAGGATGAACTGCATTCCCCACTGCCAGGCACCCTTCCTACTTTTCCCTGACTCATCCCTAAACATCCTCTTTGGGTAACAGCAACTAAACCTTTTCTCATTATTTTCTCAACCTCCGGAGACCCGAAAGTCTCCGCTTAACCCATTTCCCAGGGGGAGAACAGGAGGCAGCTTCTGCCCTCGGTCTCAGTCTCGTAGCGAATATGGAACCCAAGCGCAACCTTGAGCAAAGAGACTCGTGTTCCAGACTGCTCCCAAGACAGCACTCGGGCGTCCTGTAATCTCTCACCCCCGTGGGACATTTCGCTCTCCCCACAACAGATCGCTCGCGCTCCCCCACGCAGGACGGCATTGGGCTAGTCCACGGGCTTCCCCCTTCTCGTAGCAGTGGGTCATTCCACTCGGTGCTGAGTGCCCCGCAAGACGTGCACGGTTCTTTCAGGGCGACGGCCAGCCCGCGAGCTCACCTTTGGCTTTGGCTTTTCGCCACCGCCGACGACTGCGGCTCTTCAACTCCTCCTTTTCATTCTTCGAGGCCTGGGCCCCAGTGGGCCCCGATCCCCCGGTGGACTCCATCAGTCCTGAGAATCCCCGCACAGGGCCCAACTCCTGCCGCCAGGCCGGACCCGAGGGCCAATCCTTACTCCACACCACCGCCGGGCCCCCAAATCATCCAATACCGGGCGTGCTGCTCTCTGGGTCCCGCCCCTGAGCGATCCTGGCCCAGCTCCAGCGCCGCGCCCCGCCCCCGTCCGCTAGTGCCCAAGGCCTGGCCCCGCCCCCTCGCACCATTAAAGAGCCCTCGGCTAGCAAAATGCAGCCCTGTGGGCGATGGAAAGCGCGGTTCAGACGCGACTCGTGGAAGAGCCCGGTGGAAGTCATGCCAACCAGAAGCGTCGTTCTTCTCAGTGCCGGTATTCGGCCTCGCTATCCCCTAGAAGACAGCCCAGCTCAACCACTGGGAGGAGGTGGAGATGAGGTCTGAGTCTCGCTGGGGGTCGGAACCGGAGAGGCCCTCCGTCAATTCGAAGTTGGGGCGGGACCAGCACTGGAGGTGTGGCTGTGCCTGGGGACTTTGGAGAAGGAAATCTCACCTCCTCCCCCCTTCCCCATTCTAGTTTTTCCATTGCTTAGATCTCTTTCTGGCTTTTATTTTGGTGACACATTGGACGTCAAACCCATGGGCACTCTACCACTAACATATATCCCTAGCCTTTTTCTTTTTCTTTTTATTTTTTTAAAAATAAGATAAAGTCTAGGTATGTAGTTTAGGCTGACCTCGAACTCTTAATTCTGACTCTGTCTCTTGAGTAGCGGAATTTCAAGAGTGAGCCATCACACTCAGCTCTCCTGGTTTTTGCCCTCCTCCTGCCCTCTTCCTCCAAATAGAATGAAAGAGGCCAGAAGGGAATGCCCTGTGCATGCTCACTAGCTTCAGGCCCAGGGTTGGCAAGTGGGAGGAGCTGAAGTAGAGGAAGTAGGTGTGGTTGGCAAAAGGTGGGAAACAGGAGGTGTGAGGTTTGCCCACAAGCTCCTAACCAAATGCTGTGAGTGCCTGGGGAATGGTCTCGGCCAGCCTCATTAGCTGCTGCTGTGTAGCATGGGTGTCTCTCACCACTGGGATCTAGAGGTCTAGAGAAACAGTTCTTCATCCTGTGCTCAAAAAGCAAGCTCAAACTCTGCATCCTGCCTTTCCTCCTTTTCTTGCCAAAGCATACAACCAGCCCTGGCACTGAGACAGTAACAGCCATGTCCACCTCAGCTCTTTGAGGGTCAGCCCAGCCCTCCCAGGGCGGTCAGACCCTGGGTAGAGAGTCGAGCTTTATTTGCTTTCCAGACTATGGCCTAACAGGCGCCCTTAGCTTCCGAATTGGGGCTGCAATGATGACACTTTCACCTATAAACTTGCATTCCGTCTTCTACACTGCAGGGGTTTTGAACCTAGAAAAGGAGGATCAGGGCATGTGTGCCATGGAGCTGGAACCTGCACCCCAGGGTCACAGTGTCTGCTTCAGAAGAGTCTCAGGATGAACCAGAACCTCTGGGGCCCATTGCCCTCTGATACAGCTCTCATCCATCCTTGATTTTTCCTCTTCCTCTCCCAGGATCGTCCTTCCTGAAAACCCAGATACAAAGTCTACTCTGCCTGGCTGAACTGAGAGTCCCTATGGAGGCAGCTGGCTGGGGAGCAAGTGTCTTTCCAGAAGCAGAGATCAGACCTGGTCAACTCAGAGATCATGAATTCCCCAGATGTTCAACTTTTCTGTGTGAAAATTCAGGAGGATAAAGCCCACAACTCAGCAATGTGCTGCTAGCGTCACCCCAGAGCTGGTGCTCAGTACAGTTTTGTGCATGGATGAAGGAACTGGGCGGAGGACAGCACTCCTGGTTTCCTGCTCCCTTGCCCAGAGCCCTTTCCTATTTTTATTTGACTTTGTGGAAGGCAGCTCTGGGTAGGGGAGAAAGACCCAGGCTTAAATCCAACATTTTCTAATGAATGGCTCTGTTCGAGATCCTACTTTTTGTTTAAAATGGGAATGCTTGATTTTTATATAAAAACTGGAGATATTGATATTTATCTCACAGGCGTGTCAAAGGGTAACCTGAGCTAACTCAGTGTTCAGAAAGTTCTTAGCATTTCTTGAATGAGTGCATGGCTGTCTCTGGAAAGCCCCATTTCCTCCAGGTTCAGACTTACCCGTGTCTGTTTGGTGTCTGTGATCCTGGGCAGTGGTCTTCCCAGGTAGTGACCTTCCACTATGTCCTTGCAGTTTTTCATAACCAGGTTTCCTTTTGGAAGCTAGATTCATTCCTGGGGCCTCTGTTTCACCTCTCGTGATTGGAGGATCTTTTCCTGAAGATGTCCTAACATCTGTTTCTGGGCCTGAATCTCTGATCCAGTCAAAAAACAACTTTGACTCTTGGGCTGATTGCTGTATGGATAGTTTGTCCAGTTTTCTTAGAAATTCCCACTTTGTCAAAGATTCCTCCTTGGCTTTGGCCCCCTGCACTGGATGTATTTTCTGGACCGTAGGAGCCGACTGTCCAGGTCTATTTTGGGATGTAGTCTCAATCTGAGCAGATGGTCCTTTTTCGGATTCAGATAGTCCTTGGGCTGTAGGTGCTAATTCCGTTTTTTGACGTCCTCGTTGGGCTACATCTCCCTGTCTCAATTCTGGTTCCTGCTGAGTTGTAGACACGTTTTCTGCCCCAGGTCCCTGCAGTAAGGCAGCTTCGTGTTGGTTGAAGTTCAGCCTTTTGGTGGAGGGTGATTGCTCTGGGGCAAGACTTTTCTGGTTCAATGCAGATTTTTGTTGAGTTCTAGTGTCCTGCTGGGATTCAACCTCATACTGAGCAAAGGGCTTCTGCTGGGTGAGAGGTTTTTGCTGGGATGCAAACTCCTGTTGGGTAGTGGGTTCCTGCGGAGGTTTCCATTCTGGCTGGGCCATGAGTCTTTTTTCTGGCACAGGCTCTAGTTGGGTAATAGGTTTCTGGTCTCGCTCAGGTTCCCAGTCTGGATTGGACACTGACTTAGAACCTTGCTCCACCGTTGCCATTTCCCTGGGGGGAGATGCTGACGTTGCAGGCTTCATCCTTCTGAGCCCCCCCACCCCACCCTGCACCTCCCTCTTCACAGATGTCTCCTAATGTCACCTCCCTTTGGATTCCAGACTTTCATCCTGGTACCCCTGGTCTTCCTTTTTAAGGCAGATGGCTGGTGGGTTGATTGCTGTTGTCCCCCCCACCCGTGTGCCAAGGATGCCCTCTGTGGCTCCTGCTTTGGGAGGAGGGGCTAGGACTAGGAGGAGCCAGTGTGTCCTGCATTCTCCCAGGAGAAGGGAGGAAGGGAGGGGCTTGGCCTCTTGTGTCATAAATAGGGCCCCACCCCTCCCACCAAGCAGTGGAGATGTTCCCCGTGTGGTCTTCTGTTTCATCCAGGAGCAGAGAAGCCTGTTACAGATGAGCTAAGCATTTCTGTTCTTTTTTCTTTTGTCCTTTCTCCTTTTGATGTTTGAGGAAAGGGTTAGAGAGGGACAGAGTCTCCATGCTTGTAATAATTCTTCTCTTTTTACTCATTATGACAACTGATTGCCAATTTAACCTCTTTATATTGTCACTAGTCAAACTCATGCTAAGAGAAAAAAAAAAAAAGAAAAAAGAAAAAAGAAAAGAAAAAGAAAAAGAAAAAGAAAAAAATGTTGTCCTCTCATTTTTATAGCCAAAAGCCCTCTGGAATGACATTTAAGATTCTTCACACCATCTTTGTGGTCTTAAGCTATGGTTTTCCATATATACCTTCTGTACTAGGTTGGAAACCTATAGACTACAGTTATCATTGATGGTAATGATAGAGCAATCATAAATACTGAAGGCTGCCTACGTGCTAGGCAACTGTGATAAATTTTTCATTATATTATTTTTCATAAGACAATGTCTGATTCATTGTTATACCTGCTTTCTTTGCCCCATCTAACAGTTTCTTACCTCAGAAAGCTTTGCTGAATGAAAAGAAAAAGGTGGAAATGGGCATGCGCCTTTAATCCTAGCTCTCAGGAGGCTGAGGTAGGAGAGATAGATAGCTCGGGCAACTCAGCCTCAAAATAAAATAAGAAGGGGGTGGGGATGTAACTCATCATCCTAGATTTCAATCCCTACTAACCAGCCCCAGCCTCGGAAACAACAAGAATAAGAGGTTGAGCAGTGGAGAAAAAGTGAGCATGTTGGGGGAGGGATGCATGTAGATTCTAGGATGGATGTAGAGTAAACTGGGCAAAGTGGACCGTGTAGACTGACTGTGAATTGTTAGCCTAGATTTAAGAGAAATGACTCTGACCCTGTTGCATTTAAAAACATTTATTGACTTCTGCTTGTTACTTTCTTGATTGTATTTAAGGTGAAGTAAGACCAGTTAGGAAGATGTGATTTCCTAGTTTCTTTTAGGCAACTGGATAATTAAGCTTCAAGCTGGGTAAGGGGGAGGGCACAGGAAAAGACAGAAGAAAACAGTGGAAGGGGTAGTTTCTAATGGGATGTGGGGAAACACTGCCTTTAGAGCACAGGACTGACTCAGAGAGGGCAAGGGACAGGGAAGCTGTGCTCTAGGAGTGCTCGCTGCCTTTTTGGCAGAGCAGATTTAGTTCAGAGCTCCTACAGAGGCAGGGCGATGCTTGCCAGTTGACATTGTTTGAGAAATTCTTGGCAGGCTCTGGAGTGCTTGTTTGGTTTCCTCTGGTGCTTGTGGTGTCCTAGGGTACAAGTAAAGCAGGGGCTGGTGTTAAACATTTTTTTTTTTTGCAGTTCTGGGTTCGAACTCACAACTTCACACTTGCCAGGCAGGCCCTTATGCCTCTGAGCTAAATCCCCAGCCCCAACATTTTTTAAATTTTAATTTTCATCTCTCTCTCTCTCTCTCTCTTTTTTAATCGGCACCAGGGATCAAACTCACGACTGCGCGCTTGCAAGGCAGGCACTTATGCTGCTGAGCTAAATCCCCAGCCCCTAAATTTTAATTTTAATGAGAGCTTTAAAATGGTAATAGATTTGTCTAATAGAAAACACTACAATGAAAAACATTCAATAAGAAGTAAAAGATTTTCTACCAAGCCACTGTTAATACTCGGCTATATATTCTTCCAGACATTTTTGGATATAAACATCATAGTTTGCTTTTATTTATTTATCTATTTAAATAGTTTACTTTTAAAAACAAAATGGGCGGTGCATGGTGGCATAGGCCTGTAAGCCCAGCACTCTGGGAGGCTGAGGCAGGAGGATTGAAGGTTCAAGGCCAGCCTGGTCTACGCAGTGAGTTTGAAGTCAGCCTGCAACATAGTAAGACTTTGTCTCCAAAGTCCAACAAAATCAAATCAATAAAACAAAACAGAGATTATACTTGTATTGCTTTGCCCTGCACCCTGAATGAGCTTTATTATTGCAAAACACTATACACATCTATAGAAACTCATGAAAGTAGAGGTGTGGCAATAGAGCTCTCCTGCATGGGGTCAGTGGGTGGTACCCTTAGGGGAGAGCAGAGCCAGATCATCTCTTCTGTCACATGACAGCACAGGTAGCATCATCTGTAAGCCAGAAAGTGGGCCCTGAACCTACCGGAGGTTGATCTTGGACTTTCCAACATTCAGGACTATGAGAAATACATTTCTACTATTTGTAACTACTCCATCTATGATCTTTTGTTATAGCATCCTCAAAGAACTAAGTGTGAAATTGTGCTACAACTCTTCTGTGGATTTCAGTCAGTTTCTAGAGCAGTTATGAGCAGTGCTGCCGTGAAGGTGTGGTACATGTCTCCTAGTGTGGGGAGGCATTCCTTCTGAGTATGTACATAACAGTGGAGTTGCTTGGTCATATCATGCACATATTTTAAGCCTTACTAAGTAACTGCTAGCACTTTTGCAATGTAATTTAACATATGTACGCCCATTGGTAGCATATGACAGATTCCTTGCCAATGCTTGGTATTGGCAGATTTTAAATTTTTTTGTCAATTTGATGATTGCATAGTGATAATCTCATTTTTTTTTTCCTTCTGAGACAGGGTCTCATATGTAGCCCAGGCTGGCCTCAAACTTGAAGCAATCCTCCTGCCTCAGCCTCACCAAGTGCTGGGATGACAGGCATATGCCATCATACTCAGTTTGTTTTGGATTTAATGCACACTTTCCAAATAATAGTAAGTTTAAGTGCCATTTCATATGTTTATTAGCTATTTGGATTTTCTCAGCCATGAAGTGGTTAGTCAAGTGTTTTACCTACTTGATTGTTGTATTGCTTGTCTTCTCACTGATCTATAGGGATTCTTCACATAATCTTTTTTTTTTCCTGTCTTTTTGAGACAAGGTCTTGCTATGCAGTTCAGGCTGGCCTTAAGTTCACATTGCAGCCCAGGGTGTCTCAAAGTCACAACGATCCTGTTGCCTCAGCCTCCCAAGTGTGCACCACCACAACTGGCTAGGGCAGGCTTTTCTCAGGAAACTTACTGCTTTTCTTCATGTTGACCTTGAGATGATCACAGGGACATTGCTTCTTTGGCAGTGCGGGCACTGTCATGGGTTTTCTTCTAAGGGCTCTTTGAAACCAATCTGAAAGCACAAGTTGCTGTGTTAGTATGGGTTAGTATATGTTAGTTAGTTAGTATGGCTTAGTAGGGTTAATATGTGTTAGTAGGGTTAGTATGTCTGAAAGGAGGATGTGGGGCAGGGCCTTTGGGTTCCTCTTTCATTCTGCAATATGGTGTGCAAAGGGCGAACACCTAGCAGTGGAGACACCTGGCTGAGTGCACACTGAGATTTTGTTTTGTCTTTTTGAGACAGGGTCTCACTATGCAGTTCAGGCTGGCCTTGAGCCCACTTTGTAGCCTGGGCTGGTCTTGAATGCTCAACGATCCCCCTACCTCAGCCTTTCGAGTGTGGGGATTACAGGTGTGTGCCACCACGCCTGGCAACACTGGGATTTTTAATATGGGCAAGGATTTGGTGGCAGGTTGAGAGGAGCATCAGGATATCATTGAGGAGACCAAAGGATGAAGAGTGAGAGCCTGTGTTATCTTTCTAGGGCTGTTTTACCTGGGGCAAGACATCTTGCCTCTCTTTTGGTCTTTCCTGGGAGTAAAATAAGGCTGAGAAGAGGATCCTGGGTGCTTTTGGAAGGCTGAAGTGTGTGTGGGGTGGTAGAAATCCTTCTGGAAGGCAGTCCTGATCTTTGGGGGGTAGGGGGAGCGGATGGGAACAGCTTGAGATTTGAGCTGTTAATCCTTCAGACCCTGGGGGAATCTAGTTCTTGTCTGAAACTCAGAAAGAGAGCAGGCTGTGCAGGGCGGCTGGGGTCAGCTCTCAGCATCCGTGTGGACCTCAGAGGACCCTAAGGGAGACAGCTGAATTCGTGGTGATGCCATGTTGTTAGGGATGCTGAGATACTGACCTTTGCACTCACATTCTCTGCTGCCCTCCTGGAGCCACCTCCTAGAAGCCTGGCGTTGCTCCCCGTGGGCTCTGGCGACCCCTGTTGAGAGAAAACAGGCTGCTCTCAGGCTCTGGGAAGGAAGGAAGGGGCCAGCAGAAATGGTCTGTCTGCAGTGTTGTGTGAACTACGCTGCCAAGTCTGTCTCACCTGCTTTTTCACTTTGGTGATCTAGGGTATTTCAGGAGAGGCGCATTTTAAATGGAGAAGGGGTTCAGCTTTAAAATTTGGCCTAGAGACAAGCTTAGCCAAAGGGAGGTGGAGAAAGAATGGCTTCCAAATGGAAGAAAGGATAAAAGGTAGGGGTTTTCTGACTGTGACCCACATCAAAATACTTATTACTTAAGGAATGGGAACACAGAGTATATTAGTCTGTGAGTCAAGATTTCCATCTCACCTCCGCTGTATTTGAATCTACAATACCAATTCAACTCTAGGAGGATGTTATTTATGTTTTGTCCGCAGGAACAAATACATTCTGTTTTGGCCGTTACCCAAGCCCAGTTTACTGTGATACTGAAAAGACTGTTTTTGGCTCTTGCTGTATTATTTAAGCCATTCTTGAACTCTTGCACTTTGGCAGTCCTTCTGCTCCAGCCTCCAAAGTAGCTGGGACTGCCGGTGCCTGCCACTGTATCTGTCTTTAAAATATTTTTGTGACAACCAAGGCTGGTGGCATACAGATCTGAGATCCTCACACTAGAGCTGGGCGCACACGACATCTCTACTGTACGATAGTCTCTGATATTTCTTGTCATAATCGATTATGCGTTTCACAAGGTTCCCATTGCATTTGAATACAGCTCCAACTCTTACTCCAGCTGTCCTTTATTGTTTGAAATTGCTTATGGACTAAGCCGTGTCCCCAAAACTTCACGTGTTAAAGGCCTAACTTCCCAGACCTCCGAATGCCTGAATTTGGAGACAGGGCCTTTAATGTGTGATTAAGTTAAAGTGAGGCTGCCGTGGTGGACTCCACTCTGATCTGACTGATGTCCTTAGAAGATGAGCTTTGGACACATGAAAGAGTCCCTCAGGATGTTTGAGCACAGAGAAACAATCTCATGAGGCTACAGTGAGAAGGTGTGTAAACTAAATGTTTGTGTCCCCCTAGAGGCCTTATGTTGAGGTATTTTATTTTATTTTGTCTTTTTGAGACAGGCTTTTGCTATGCAGTTCAGGTTGGCTTTGAGCTCACTTTGTAGCCCAGACTGGTCTCGAACTCACAATGATCCTCTTGCCTCAGCCTCCCAAGTGCTGGGATTACAGGGCGCCCGGCTATGTTGAGATATTTAAAAAAAATTTGTATTTGTTAGTGCATGTTTGCAGTATATAATGATTACACCCATTGTGGAGGGCTGTACATGTACATAATTCATCTTAATTCTCTTTTTCATACTCTGTTCCCTTCTATCCTTCCTCCCTCCATTTCTTGGTACCCTTTCTTTTCACAAAATATCTATATCCCAATTCCCTACTATCTATATTTTATTGTGCTCTTTATTTATATTTTGGGTTTATTTATATTTAAGTTTGCGTGTCTGTTTCATTGCACTTAAACTATGGTCTTAAGGTGCATCTGTTTTCTTACAAATGATTCAAAATTATCCTTCTTTATGGCAGAGTAGTACTCCATAGTGAATATGTACCACATTTTCTTTATCCATTCAACTGTTTTTTTTTTTTTTTTTTGTCTTTTTCGTTTTTATCGGTACCGGGGATTGAACTCACGACTGCCTGCTTGTCAAGGCAGGCGCTTATGCCGCTGAGCTAAATCCCCAGCCCCTCCCATTCAACTGTTGATGGGGACATAGTTCACTTCTAAGCTTAGCTATTATGAATTATGTTGCTATAGACATGCATATAGCTGTGTCCCTGTGATATGATATCTTTAACTTTTTCGGGAAGATCCCTGGAAGGGGCATAGCTGGGTCTAAAGGAATTTCTATGTTTAGTTTTTGAGGAGTCTTCATGCTATGAATTCCATATTGGTGGCACTGGTTTACATTCCCACCAACAAGGTGGAAACTTTTATTTTTCCTTGAAGCCTCATCAGCATTCATTACTGTTTGATTTTTTTTTGGTGAAATTCATTCTTTGTATATTAAGATGGAGTTTAGTATTGCTACAATTTGTATTCCTCAAATGGTCAGAGATGCTGAACTTTTTAAATGTACCTATTGGTCATTCATATTCTTAAGAAGTATCTATTCATTTAAGTTGCACATTTTTAATTAAGTCTTTTATTTGGGGGAATCTAATTTTTTATTTATTTTTTGAGACAGGATCTCACTATATAGTTCAGGTTGTCCTTAAACTCCCAGTGGTCCTCCTGCCTCAGCCTCTTCAGTGTTGGCGTTATAGGTGTGTGCCACATGTTCAGCTGCATGGGGAGAGGACCTGCTTTTTGTTTTTATATATTCTATGTGTTAGCTCTCTGTCCAGGGAATCACTGGCAAAAAATTTCCTCATTCTATAGGTTGTTTGTTCACTCTGTTTATTGTTTTACTTGCTATGATGAAGCCTTTAATTAATATAATCCCTCTTGCTTGTTCTTGTGTTATTTCTTGTGCAATTGCGCTTCTGTTTAAGAAAGATATTTCTTATGCCTACTTTTACCTATTTTATCTTCCGGCAGATTGAGTTTCTGTTTTGTGATTTAAAACTTTGACCCACTTTGATTTCAGTTTAGTGCATGATGAGAGACACAGCTCTGTATTCAATCTTCTGCGTGTGCGTGGCCAGTTTTCCCAGCACTGTTTGCTCAAAGAGCCTGCCTTTCCTCCAGGGCATGTTTTCAGCTCCTCTGCCAGCACTCAGACAGCTAGATGTGGCGGTTGTGTTTCTGTATGCTCTCCTCTGTCCCACTGACCTGCAGGTTTGCTTTTATACAGTATCATGTTGAAATTGTTTTTTGTACCAGTGATCAAACTCACAACCTCGTGCTTGTCAAGCAGGCACTTATGCTGCTGAGCTAAATCCCCAGCCTCTCATGTTGGAATCTTAATTCTCAATGTGACAGCATTAGGGAAAGGGCCTTAGGGAGGTGGTGAAGGTGGAGCCTTCATAAGTGGGATTAGTGCCCTAATCAAGGTACTCCAGATCTTTCTCTTTCTCTCTTTCTCTCTGACAAAGGACCCTTGCAGCAGCCCAGTCATGCTGACACTCTGAGCTCAGAAATCCCACCTCCAGAGCTGCAAGAAATACGTCTTTGTTGTTCATAAACTGCTGTCCATGGCACTTTGTAATAGCAGCACAAACGAAGACAGCAACTATTTGCAAACCATGGACAGCGCCCCCCTCACCTGCTGACACCTCAGATTTTCAGCCTCCAGAACTGTGAGAAAATCAGTTTCTGTGACTGAAGCCAGGCAGTCTCTGGTATTTTCTCATGATAGGCCTTGCAAATTAAAACAAGGTCTTTCTCCTTCAGAATACTTAGAACTAATCGTGCGGTAGCCATTCAGGAATTTGGCAAATGTTTGCTCAATAAGTAGACAGACAAGTTTTTTGCAGCGGCCCGGAGAGATCATCTGATCGGGTTTCCCAGACTTGTCCTTTCTGCCACATGGATGGAGGGTGTTGTCCCATTTCCCCAATGTTCTCATGTGCTGTTCTGAGAGCTGCTGTTAGGATGACTTAAACATGAGGAGCCCTGCTGTTGAAATTTTTCTAACACTTTACTCTTGCGTGACCTCTCCTCTTTGTTCTAAAAAGCCACAAAATATTAGGGTGAAAAGCAAAGTTGGAAAATATTTAATCGAATCCCTTAATTGAGGAGGTTTTTCATTCTAAGTATAATACAAATATTCTAGAGAAAATCTTGAAGGTACAACAAATAGCTCATTATTCTTACTAACTGTTGGTGTTTTGGCACATCTTGGCATACCTGCGCATGCTTTTCTTTATATAGTGATAATCACAGCGTGTGAACAAATTTTTGTATTTTTTCCCTGCTTTATAAAGCGTATTTCTATGTCATCTTTATAATAACTTTTTTTTTGCAGTACTAGAAGTTAAACCCAGAACTTTTGCACTGAATTATATCCCCAATGCTTTGTTAGATTTTTAGAATTTTGAGACAGGGTCTTGCTAAGTCCATAAGTTACCCACGATTGGTTTGAACTTGTGATCCATTTGCCTCAGCCTCCCGGAGTGCTAGATTGTAGGTGTGCTTCCATGCCTGGCCATAACAGGTATTCCTAATGACTGCTTTTATAGTTACTTTTCTTGTTGCTGAGATAAGATACCCAACACCCACAAGTTAAGAGAAGGAAGGTTTGTTTAGATCACAGTTTGTAGAGGTTTCACTCTGTAATCAGCTGGCTCCAAAGCAGGGTGGATGGAGACAGGAATTGCAGAGAACAACAGCTCATGGCAAGAGCAATAAGGGCTGACTATAGTTCTTTCTCTTCCTTTCTTATCTAGGCTATTTAGGGCAGGGAGCACTCACACCTTAATCTGAGTGCCCTCAACTCTAGCATTGTATGGGAATCAATTCCAGAGTCACACGCTCTAGATCTAGCGTGTGACTTCTGAAAAAACTCCACCTATGACTGCACGAGGTTTTTGGGGGACGTTTAGACACAAGGCGTAACAGCTGCAAAGTACTCCCAACAAGTAAGTATGTTCTACATTATTTTATTCTTCACCTATTACTAAATTTTTGATTGTCTTATTTTTGGATATTGATAAAGTTGTTTGCTATGTAGCTATCTTCCAAATTTTGAATGATTTTCTTGGAAAAATAGAATTCTTGGACAAAAGTTAAGAACAGTTTTGTGATTATTGATATTATCAAAAGGGAAATATTTATTGATTAAATCACTATCTTTGCACTTTCAGATGAGGAAACTGAATCACAGAGAGAGTAAATAAAGTGCCCAAGTTCACCAAGGTAATGGAGACACATCTAGAAATAAAACCCAAATCCAAGATCCTTAGTCTCTTGTTCTTTCTGTAGCCCTACACGACCCCCCCTCCCCATTTAATGAGCAGAAATGACAATGGAACTGCACGTACTGTAGGGTTGTCTCCCAGAC